AGCTGCAGACCTGGCAAAATGCAATTTAAGTCCGATTCCCTTTTCACCGGCGAATCGATGGTGGAACCGGAGTTGGGCTTAGGGAACAGGCAATAAATGATCTCGATTAGTGAAATAAAAGACAACATTTTGAGGTCGCGCATCTGACCTCACGCCTTGCTGTAAAAGCGTTACCGATCATTGCATGGCAATTCATTATTCAATTTTCCTGGTGCCACCTTCTATGTTGCTCGGCCAGACTTCTTTGATTAAAATGGTGGTCAGAATGGGAAGGATTGTGTGATTAGTAGCCTTTGCTGATGTAGATGCACTGAACTGCACCTCCAGACGCCACTTTTAATGCAGGTTTGTGGGACTGACGGCAGCGTTTTCAGCAGAGCCTTCAAGACATGAATGGTCTTTGAATCCATATTCGCCTGACTCACACAAAGGGTGGTGTCACGCCGGCACTCAAACGGAGCAGCGGAAAAGACAAGAGTGAAAGGTCAGTCTGTGGGGCGTTTGTGCAGTGAATTAGTGATGCAGATGCAGTAGATCTCACTTCTGTGGCCCCCTCAAACCACATGAACACGCTCCGATTCGGCATTTATGGCAAGGCGAGAACAGTGATTGTGGAAGCTGCAAACGATATCTGCCCGGCGTTAATGCTACAAGGAGGCGGACTGCGCACGAATGACATATAAATAGAGGAGGTAATGGGAAATGCAGAGAAGCGCCTGCCGTTATCAAGGCAGACGACAGTACAGCGATCATCTCTTTGCATGACAAAGTCCATGAAAGCAGCCTCCTAATGGCATAAAAGCGGAAGTGATCATCGTGAGACTTTCTCAATCGGTGCAGCGCCTCTATCCAGATTGATCAAATGAGCAGGAGTCGTCCAAGTATCAACATCTAGAATTAAAGCAAAATCTTTTGCACTATTAGTCTAGACATTTAAAATTGACGGCCTAACGGGAAGGACTAAGAAATGGTGCGGTTAAGCGGTGATCTGAAATGGTCAACACAGTCTGCATCATGAAGAGGAACTTATCCTACAGCATATGAAATCAAATAACCTATGTCTAGGCATTCGATGAGACAAGTGTGTCAGCGAACTCTACGTCCCTAGTGCATTGCTAGGCGTAAACACTTTACCATAATCTCATTATGTCATGGTGCTGTAAAACTAAAAGGTGTATTAGATTCACCTAAATTTTGGGGCTACACGATGATCAAGGAGAGATGCATAATAAATGAAGGAGGTTGTTTTCATCTCCAACTTCCAGTTTTTTTCCAAACCTTTCCACCCAGGCTTTAACATTTGCCGAATTGCGTCCATTGACAACCAATCTGTGATAAGCAAGCGTAACTCTTGCAGAAAGAATCGACTCTCCTGAGTAGTTTCATGTCCGACTGATAGTGTGTGGAGCAGACATTTAATCTGCAACGTGAAGATTCACATGATCAGCCGTGACAGAATGATGAGAAGGCAAGTTCTACGGTCAATATCTTCACGAATGGAGAGATGACATAATCTGCGTCCATGCGTTTCACACTTGCATTGGCAAGGCACTTCGTTCATCACCCCACGCAGCCACCATCACTGTTGTCACTCACCATCGTGGCGATCAGCTCGTTGAAGGGCCCGATTTAAAACATTTGGTGAAGCCATAGTAGCATCATTTAATGGCCCTCCCACTCTAGGTTACTTAAGCGCACCTTATCCAAACTGCAGCTAATTTGGAGGAGCAATTACAATTTTATCATTTACCTTTCATGGCACAGTTTGCATTTATGGGATGAATTAGTGACGGTCAAAAGGAATATCTACTGGGGCGAAGCCTCCTGGCTGGCCAGTACTCGACGAAAAAGCAGTCGTTTAGTAAATGTTCCATGTTGCCTAATTGTCATTATAAAATCGGATTCCTTGACATTGGAATAACTTCTCTTTTCGGTAATGTCTCAAAGTTGACTTGTGCTGAGAGGAGGAGGACACTCTCCCATTAAAAGAATACAAATTGTCAAGCTGATATGCACAAATGTCTGGGATTCCAAGTGCCAAAATCTATTCATGTGTCTTGCAAATTTGTCAAACCTTTCTATCCTTATCCAAGAAAACGCTGCATTAACGAACGCGATTATTTGAAGGTGGACGGTTTCCCACTTGGCCTGTACTAAAGCGATATCATTGGGGTAAGAGAAACTCCGTGCCTAATGGCGGTCGTGTTCATACCATTACCGTTTCTGAGTAAAAAGGTAAGTTATTCACAGTTAGAACATGCAATTTGAAGAAAAATAACCTAACGTTAAGGCCAAAGTACCCTTCAAGCTGATGCCTTGATTGTCAAACAAACCGCGCTGGTGGTAGACATGGTCAAACATACCCACCGACTTCCCCAAGATCTTTCATCATAGCTCAACCACTAAGTCTCTTTGCGCACAGAACAGCATCTGCATCACTGCATTGCCATAAAGTCACCCTAGAAATTTCTGTAAATCGATCGCTTTTTTGCACTTACCTCGTAAGACAACCACCCTTTAATTTACCTTAATAGCTAACCAATTTTGCAAGAAAATTTTTTTTGCATCAACAAACCAGTAATCCAGCTGACTTGATTATAAATTACCTCATCTTACACCTGTCAGTACCAAAGAGAATAACGGTTTTGGTCCATCTTAATCACTTGAAACAAATTAATGCCTCGCTTGTCAAACGCATGGGGAACTGTATATGCACCTTCTTAACCGAACTGTCATGGTACCGATGGAGTGCCATCATCGGTATATTTTGCCAAACATAGTCCTCTCAGGTGACAAACGTAATTATAGATTCTTTGCTTCAAAAATAAGCATTTAACATTTCTCAATAAGAATATGGCAAACTTGGCTGGTAGTTTTGATCTGCCAAATGCACCACAAAAAGCCGCCGTATTTTGTGGCTCCACTCTTACTATTTTTACTTCACAACAGTCTACGAGTTATGCCGTAATATTTTTTTCTTTGAAGCTGTAATAGGTGTTCTCTAAAGCGCAATTGCAACACGTTAGTTGGTGATGAAACAACTGTCTGCAGTTGTCCCGATGAAGCAGTTTTTAGCTACCCTAAAATGTTTGGTATTGACCTGCCTTCTAATCCGATGCCGCCGCTTTGGCTTCGCTTATTTCGCCTCAATCATCTTCGCCTTCCTTTTGCGGTCATAGGGTAACTTCGGCATTCCTGGTAGAAAAAGCAAAATAAAGCAGAAGAATGGCATAACCATACTTCTGTCTCGTTCCCCAGGGTTGCGAATCACCCCAATACTGACGTCCTTATTCCGTTATAAAGACATGGAATTGGACCTTTACGTATTTGGTAGTTATTTAGTCGTCACTGGCACTGACGTAGTACGTCCCGTTTGCCGATACAAGTCAGCAATATCCATATGCATTCAGGCTGACGACTTGACAGCATCCAGGCTTACTTACATGCCCGAGATTAATGAGATTTATAGGTATACGCCATGATGAAGGGGCCTAAAATGTCAATGCTTGAAAAGGGACAGCGAGGTGCAGAATTAAGCAAGTGTTAATCTTGGCATTGTTTCCTTCAATGATCGATCCTCGACTTCGCTAGCATTGGTTCTCCGTGTCATCTGCGAAAAACTTCGACACAAAATTGGGGTGAATGATGTATTATTAAACCAAAGGGGCTTATTGTGGGTACTTCAATAAAAACAAATGTGCCAGAGATGCCTGTCACCATAGGAGCCAGTACTGTTCAGATTTAAATAAGTTCTAAATGATGGCTTTTCTAGAAAAAGTCCACCTACTTCACCGCCTTTGCGCATATCCATTCACATGTGTTAAATGTTTTATCCCCGGTATGAAGATGTCATTTTATCCCCTGCCAATTTTTTTGAGATCATGTCGTAATAGCCCCATTCTTACAGGTCAGATTAATAGATGAATTCCTCTCCAGAGGGCTTGATACAACACAATTCCCAACTCATTGATGTTGTGGTCAGTGAAAAACTTTTGAAGTATCTAAGAAATTTCACCTTACTTATCTGCTTTTGCATTTACTACGAATGCAATACTTAACCTTATGATAGGGTGCAAGTGATTGCAATGTGACCATTAAACGACGCTTTTCGACCCATAAAGAATTCATTGGTAGATTACGCAGACGAAGCAATTATGTCCATCTATTTTAGTTGCATATTCACTACCAGTGGAATTATAATCAGTTCTTACTTCAGTCAGCATACATTCATTAGCAAAACCTTTATATGCGCGCAAAGAATATTTGTTCAATGAGGAGTTTTTTGGGTCAGCTTAGGGTATAGTTCTGCACACCGTACTGAATATTATTTGACTGCCATAAAGTCTTGCTGATAGAGATGCAAGATGTCAATGTGCCTAGGCCTGTGGCCGTAGACCTGAATAAGAGTGGTTAGAAATCACTTGCTCATTTCTTTATCCAGTGGATTCAAAGTAATTTGAAAGGCATCTGATGAGGGCTGTAGGAGGAGTAGCCGGCAGAGACGCTTGTCCAATCAGGTCCATCGTTTGATATGTTGATACATGACACTCGGAAAACGCCGTATAGAAATGATTTGCCTCCGACCCGGAGTGCTCAAGCAGATATTTACTGGAACTGGTGTATCATGAAGTTGACGTTATCTCAATGCAATTTCAGGTGATAGATCGGTAGTTTTACGGTGTGAGCTATTTTGAGCCTAATTTGTGTAAAACTTTGTGACCGTCAATGACGTAGATATTAAAAAAGTAAATGACTTGAGCCTAAAGTTAATAAGTTAATAAATAGACACAAGTAAAGACAAATAATTAAGAGGCAATAAGCAGAGGCTACCGAAACCTACCATTATCAGGAGATGCTGCATTGATTGATGGAATGGCAGTGATGTCGATGTTTAAACAAACCCTGTCTTGGAGGCAGGGGTGATAATTAGGTTGAGCTCGCCTTGATTTAGCATAGCGAGCCATGGACAGCCAGTATTACCAGTCAGATATGCGCACTATACCTTTTTTTCACTTATATATTCCTTTGGCTATATCACAGTGTTGCCCACAGACCGACCGGTGGGAGAAAGGTATTGGCACACAGTGTCCGGCTTTTGATCAATGTCTCCTTATCGGGATTTTTAACTCAACAACTACCTTCGTTTGCAGTAGGCATTCGTCTCTTCCTACTGACAATCCTTAGGGTATCGGGGCAGTTTAGTAATTCCATGAGATCATGGACTCAAATTAATCAAATATGTGGAGTGTCTGAGTATGCTTTACAATCCATCAACCTTCTGCGTGAACAAAGAGGAAGTGGCATGAGCTCTCTGAACACCCGGTACTTTTGAGCATACTGAAGTAAGATGTCGTAAATAAAAGAGAAGAGTAGACCTAATGTTGCAATTCCCCAGTTTACTGCCCAATTCTGGGCTGGAATAGCTCTAGCACTTTCAAAACGAACGCTGTCCGTGCGATATATGTCCAACTGATGTGGAGACAAAATCACTGTCAACTACTATATCAGCCTCTACTTTACGAATAGAAGAACACCGCGGCATCCATTCCTTAAATGCAGATAGACAGACATTTGTGTGAAGTTTTTGTTTGTCGTTGTCGGAAGTATGTATCTTCTTAGGACGAGAGATGTCTATCCTGAAATTGACTGGCCCTGTGCAGAAAAATATGAATTTGCTTGGCTATGAAATATTAACTATTTGAACCACTTTGTATTATCCGTTCACTCCACACTCATCACATCACTTCGACAGCTGCTTTGCTCGGCCATCACCCTAAATGCTACTGCACATTACACCAACATTGTAGCTACGTCTCAATAAATGTTTCTGCAGTCCATGGGAACAGGCTGTTTTGATTTGTTGATCTCCTTCACCATAATCTTTGTAAAGGGGCTTTCTTATGCATTCAGTGCAATCGACTTTACACAGCCTCTTAATGACAGAAAGTCAGCAAGATACGGAGGACCAGAAAGTATCTTTACGACTCTAATGCTCCCTTCCCATACACCAAATATTACAATTTTAAGTGTTGCGTGCGCTTTTTGAACGATTTGTTAATTAAGGCGATGGGGAGCAGTGACTGAACAATAGCAGTGTAGGCCAGAAATTAGTTATACTGGGAAGCGAACATGATATTCATTTTTTTTATGCAAATGCTACAGACCTGTTTCTAAATTTGAGTTGCTCTTAGCCCCTTCTTCCTCTCTAGTAGCCTTAACCACCGCCAACTCCTCATCCTCCACTCGTTCTTCATTCGTGGCAAATTATATCATCTCAAGGATGCCAAGGGTGCAGAGTCGGACAGATGGGGATGTGGGGGAAACAAGTGCGCATACCAGTCGACTCGGCTATATTGACAAGCCACCAGTGCCCCATGCTAATGTTGCCCATGTTCCGTTGAAGTCCGCCTTTTTCCAGGGTACCGCATTCAGAGTTATGTAGAATGAGCCACCGAAGTCCGAAATAAAAAGGTGACCTGAATTGGCGAGAAGCATATTTTTGGATTTGACGTCTAAGTGGACGATATGCATGGCATGAAGGCGCTCCAAACCACGGATATTCCCGCAGCCATTAAATTTCCCGTTATTTTTATTTAGGGAACCAAAAGTTAGTTGGGGTCCCGCAGGAAAAAAGTTTCCCTTGAATAGCACAAAGACTAGGGTCCCATGAATTCGAAGGCTTTGCCACAGAGTGCCTAGAAACGGTGATTGCTCTTCCGCTCCAGCGAGTCTACGAGGATGTGGTGCTCTTGAAGATTACACAGAACCAAAGAGCCCTTATTGCAAGCAAATGTACTTTAGTGCTCCAGTCATAGTTGTCGCTTTGTCGCCTCCTTTTGGGTAGACTATCTCATAGATAGTGGAGTAAGATTCGTGGGAAATGAGCTTCACCACACCAAACATCTCAAGCACCATATCTCGGCTCACCCTTGCTTTAGTTTACTGAACTCATAAACTGCCACCATTGTTATAAGTGCTTCAGAGCTCGCTTTTTATTAGCGTGTGGTATGTGAAGTGTATTCCCATGGCCAAATCTTACATATGAGAGATGTAGTGACATTGTTATAAGGTTTTACGGTGTGAGGAGCAGCAACCACTACAATGTGGAGTTCATATCTTCATGATTTAGTTTTCATTATTAACACTGATCGGCAGGCTGACGAGTCACGAGACCTAAGCAGGTTGAAGCGTGGTATGAGTGCAGCTGTGCAACTGTTCAAATAGTTTCAACCAAACCATCTTTTCTTCAGTCCCAAAATCCCGATTTACTTTTAAGATGGCTTTAAATAAGCAGCACTGAAATAAACTCAAATGTCAACTATAGGTGACATCACGTTACGTGTACCGGTTACAGACGGACACCAATTGGCCTTTTTAAGTCATTTTGACATACATCTAGTAAATATGCATTTTTTGGCTTTTTTTCTCTCGTCAATTAACTACCTAACTTCACTGAAGAGGCAGGTGGCTATCTCATACAATAGTTAAATAGAGGACGATTTTCAAGAATTTCAATGTCTTGATATTATTTTAAAGCAAAATAAAAATAATTCGAGATATCCTATTTTCATCTAATTGACCAAGTCGGTGATTGCATTGAATCTGCTGCTGGAATGTCTGGTGACCAAGTTTGTGTCTTTGGTGTTTGGTGATGCTGATGTTGCTGCTGATACTATTGTTTTGGCAGTTAAACTAGGAGCAGTGGTGGGAGTTGTGGACGAATCTGAGCCGGTATGAATAGTAGTGCCATTTCTTCCTTCCTTTTTCCTTCTGATCGCAGTCATCAGCCTTCTCTTCATACATATCGTCCCTGCCACTCCGGTAGGGGTCGTGAAGTAGGTGGAGGTAAAACAAATGTCTGTAGGAAACCTTCCACCTCTTTCAATCATCCTGAATGCCAAAAAAATCATCAAATTTAATGATTTGGTCATTTCGTTCGAGGATTTATGTAAATGTGCGACACTTTGATCGTATGAGTGCTGAATGAGGCAATGATGGCAGGTAATTTGATAAGCGTAAGACCTGAGCCTAAAGTTCGTCACTGCAGATGTTGCCATCAAAGGCTGCTACATCAAATTGTTGAGAAATGAGGAATGAGGTTCAATTTAACAGGTATTTATGAGAGCTGCCGCTATGGAGATCTTAAAAGAAGTCTCTAGTATTGTAAAAAAATCAAATCTATCTGCAAGAATGTGATACCAGCCGAGTATCTCCTCTGGGAATAAAAGAAGAAAACATGTTTGTTTCGTCACAGACAGATAATGCACCCATCTCACCAGCAACAGGTGCTATTATCTTGAGTGTACAGATAAATGGATCAGGGAAGTAGAGGTGTCAATGGGACAGGAGGTGAAGGCTTAAAGTGGGTGTCAATTGTCAAGTAGATTGCCCTTTGATTGACCAATGAAAAGTTGCAATAAGGGAACGTGGCTGAGATGATGACATTAATTAGTGGTGACGGTGAGGTCGGAAAGATAGGTATGAGGTTTGAGAGACTGGGATCTTCGGAGAAGTCTTTGCTACCACCAACTGCAAAATTAAAAATGACAGAATGAAGGGAAGATGGAATGCATGCGTGAATAGCTCTGCTATATAGTGATCAGCAGTGATAAGACCATGGCCATTACTGTCATCCGACAGTCTCAGTGACGCACGTGAACCATGCTAATTGCTCCTGCCCCAAAATTGTTGTGCAAATGCCATTACTACCACCTCACTCAGTGTTAACGTCTCGCGACTTTGCACCTGCAAGTAGTTAGTTGCAACAAAATATTATTCCTGTATGATCCTCCGGAGCAAGTGACTTTCTTCTAATTTTTCTCATAAGTATGGAATCATTTTGCCATGGAGAAGCACAATCGAATGTAGAAAAGAGGAGATGTCTACAATCTTGTCAATATCCTCCGAATTCCCTTAATTGATCATGTGGATTGCTTGAGTATGTCGAATTAGCCTTAGTGCGACAATAGTTAACTAATACCTTTACACCATCTTACGGTAACCAAATAAACTTATTAGCATAAATTGTGCATTTCTTGGAGTAAAAGTTCAAACTCTCTGCAAAGAATTCACGTGTGTTCGCTATTTGCAAAAATCAAGCGACTTCCAGAGTATGGATCAACACATATACGCGAAGTCTTATTTCACTCATCTGTGCGCTAGAAATCACTTGCTCAAGATGAAAACGGCTGCTTGTTATTCCGCAATGTTTTTATTTGCCTTTCTAATACTCATCGGGCTTAATCATCTTGCTGAATTCAATTTCCTTACTTTTTGTGTAATTTGGACCATAGCGGATATGTTATTTTACTTCTTTTAAAAGTAAATGTCATAGTTTATTCAGGGATTACAATTCCTACTTACTCTAGATTCCTGGAATGGAAGAAGCTCTCACGGAGTCCGGACTGCAGATTATTTAAGAAGGGAATGCACATTACAACCTTAGTGTCCAGCCGATGAGCACATTTTGGCAATGCAATCACCAATCTTGGCAAGGAAAAGACCGAAGGGAGTCAATAGGAAGTATGGAACGCTTGGATGTAATGAGGAAGTGGTAGGTAATATCTACCTTTCAAACATAGATGGGAACACATTCTTCCCCTTTTCGCTCATTAGACACACTTGAAAGTTGTATACTAAGGAGAATGATATCATTTTCTGGTATTGCGTCTAACATTCATTGCTTTTTTTTTCAACCATGCATATGAACTTAGGCGTGATTTATTGAAGGATGCACATAGACCAAATGGGTTAAGTATGAATTTTGGTCTTATTTCCAAGATTTCGCATGACTTTCGACAAAGATGGGGTGTTGGATAGGCTTGCAAGACCTTAGTTTCCGTTTCTTAGACAACAATTTTTTAGAGCGCAAGGAATTAACACAATTAATATGGGATCTCGAGATGGACACAATACACCTAGCATGGATATGTGCATTGCGAATAATGACCCACACTTGTTTTGGCCTTCTCCGATGGAATGATGTTAAACTGTGCAAAAATGTAGAAAAAGGGGACGAAGAATCACTATTTAATACTTTGAATTTGGATATGTTGGATATTGATATCGAGAAATGATATTTGCTTTTGATATTTGGCAAAGAATGGAGCGTAAACACTGGACCCCTTCTCGCAATCGTGGAATGAGAGAACCGGTTAGGGTAGGAATTTGCGTGCTGTTTGAGCCTGCGCTATGCAGACAATTTAATTTTTATGAGAAATTTGAGGTCGTCTCTACGTGCTTCCTCCTCCCTAAAGATCGATAGGCTTGTACACCCGTTGCCGATAGGGTGGTCTCAAATTAAAGTGTTACAAAAGCAATGAAGCCATCCCTGTTGTCTCAACCATTTCTCCAACCTGGCATACTCGACTGTGTGAGCGTAAGAAAAGAGCCACACTGTTCCCTAATACATGGCTAAGAATCCTTGCATATATCTCCATAACTGGGGGCGTAATTAGTCTTAGTATCAAGATGTATTAGTATCAGTGATTTGGTTGCTCGTTTTACCATGCGTTACAATTCGCCGTCACACTACTCTCAACAGGCCATGCTTTCGCATTATCCGACGGCCCGGTAGAGCAGCAATGTATGCGAATACCAAGGCTTCCGGGTGATCGTAATTACTGTCACTACGATATCCATAATCCCCTGCAAAACTTTGCCCCATCACAGGCCAGGTGTCGATCAGGTGTGCAGAATCAGACATTCTCAGAGCAGGTCGATGTTAGCAGTAATGACTGCCTAGGCTATGCACTGTCGGAAAATGGCGACAGAAATTCTGGTTCTCATCTGCTTACAGATGTGTCACCACTGTTAGAGTCTTTATACCAGCAATCAGAAGGAACCTCTTTTGACCCACGTGGTGACGTTTGGTGTTGGTGTTAACACCACAGCTGATGTCAACTGCTAGTTTGGCCATATTTTGTTGTAATGCAACGTAATGTCAAATTACATCGGTCTAAATTAGTTAAGCTTTGCCAAGTTTTTTTCCTCATATTTGCAATTTTTGTACCTCCCACGTAGCTAGGTTTTCGAGACCAGTATTTGGAAGGCAAAAAACTCCTTTCTTTAATGATACATATTTTGCTGTTAAATGAAAATCTGGAATTGTAATAAGTTTTGTGCTTTATTGCCCCATTAAACCAAAATGGTGATGTGAGCATCGTGTCTTGCAAAATAACAGCAATGACCCTATCGTCCTTTGTGAATGTGAGAAATTGCGGTTGTTCTTTTACTTCAAAAAGAAATGTCAAATAGTCTTATCAACGGGTAGCATTGCGTTGGTCCTAAAAAATGACTGCAATCTTGACATTTTACTGTTCCTACCTTTGAAATGATGTTCGAGTTGGGTAATTTACACCAGAATATCCGGTTGATATTTCTGTCATGAACAAATCGTAGCGACAATCTGGAAGTTGAGCTTGCTGTAATCTTTTTATATTAAGCATCACATCGAAAATGTGATTAAGAAGGCGGTCAATTTGAGGAGGCCGTCAGCCGTAATATTCATTCCCCAAATGACAACGTGAGGCTCCTTGTGTCTTTAGCTGTCACTGGCACCTGCCGTGACTCCTCGAGGTCTTTAAGTTAGCGTATCGAACGAAGAAGTATGTTTTTTCCGATAGACATAAGCAGTCATTGACTCTAAACCGGGCCCTGATGATCAAAATAAACAATGCACTCTTAGAAGTAGTCTTGACTAAAAAACAGTTTGATAGAAATGGGGAAGGAAATTTTACTCTGACAGATACCTCGACTCCTCTGAATACCTACCAATAGCGCTTTAATGTGCAAGTCAAGAGATTGTAACAATGCAATTTTATAAAAATGCAATGCTTTTTAGCATAAGAATGCACTTTTAAGTGTTTAACAACGATTGTAGTACAAAAGGCACACCGTCATTTGACACATTACAAGCTACGGAATCGAAAATGACAGCCAAATATCTGAGTGTTGACTACTTTTATAGGGTGCTTATGAGCTGATGTGAGGATCGAGCATTTTGAGTTCCCACTTAAATAACCCACTAGAGAGACCGTTAGAACGAGAAGGCAGTGTTTTAATGTCAGCAACTTATCGTCGATAGTCTCACAATATCTGTTTGGGCTATCGTTGGATACAGTTCCGGTTCATAGAGCTGCAAGAGTGGTGAAAACTTGCCATTCAAATATAGGTAGCCAAAGGCATTTTGGCCTTAGGAATTGTTTTGGTACAACTTCATTTTCATGATCTGGAGACGAGAAATAACGATGAATGCAAATAGGGGGCAAAATTTGGCGCCATTAAGTCGGCGTCACGAGTCACGAAATAACAGGCACTTCTAAATTGCATTTATGAGCTGACAAGTGCACTTTACGAAAGATCAGCATGGAACTTATAATTGGTTAAAATTTATGATTTTCTTCTTCAATTACACAAAAAAAATCCAGAAATGACTTTGAGAGGTTATTCACGTTTCCTATTCTATAGCGACCTGATCTTGCCCACCTCATATCCTCGGTTCCATCGCTGTCACTGGTCGAACTGGTCCAGTCACAATTGATGCAAAGGTTGCCCCCAAGTTCACTAAATAGCATCAAATGTAAAAATAATTGAAAATCTAGGGTTATGAGGTCGACTTTATTTGTAGTTAACTTGTGGGAGTAAGGCCAGATGTTAAAAGTGAATGCTAAGATTTTGTTTAGTTTGCTTTTATAAAATTTCGTGCAGATCGGATATGAAACAAAAGCAAAACAACCTTGGAAAGCAATATTTGATTTTGGCTCACCAAATTTAGTCATGCCTATAAGTAAAGCACAAAAATGAATGAGTAATGCGAGTCATGCTTATACACTTGCAAAACGGCATGGATTTAACGCATTGGAGTCAAATGAATCGGAAGTCATTTGTCAACCACTCTCACCCTAAAGGGAGAGATATTGTAGTGATTTGCAGACAGAAAAGTTTTTTAACCGCTAGTACATTCCTAAATAAGTGGTTCGACGGATAAGTTGCTCAAATTCCAAATAAATTCATGCCTGATATTCTTAGGAATTATGCATAATAGGATAAAAACAAGGCTCATTAAAAAAAACTATCTCCATGCGAAAATAGATTCATGCCTTGTCAAGTTCGACTAGATTACAGGCGACACCCTGTGACGCAAAAAGCAGTCCCATGCTCTTCCAGGACTTACAAGCAGTCTGCTAAGGGTGAGAAACATGATTGTTTACGTAAATTAAATAAAAATTATCATTTGGAAAGGCTTATTTTAGCAAGATTTTAATTTCCAGTTAATTTCCTAATGTTAATAATTATAATGCAACAGATAGAATTCGGTTGAAAACACCTAAAAGCCGATGTTCTGACTAATCTAAATCATGATTTTCAGATTGTATGTAGTATAATGTCATGTTTTTGATAAATTTAGTACATGTATTAGGCACAATTCTATTAACCGAGGTGTCATCAGAATTCCTTGGCATATATGTACCTTGATAATGAAAATCCCGTCATCCAAAGTTCGTGTAGAAAGCGATATAAAATGGAACTGCTTTACCGCTGCACAGCCAGCATGTCTTCTTCCTGGCAGTGCTGGAACCCGCGAGAAACAGAGCATTTGCTTTAGTTCTTTACACAATTTATCATGCTCTTTCTTTTTAACCTCCTATTCATTCAGTATATGCAAAAGGCTTGTGGTCTTTGCAGAGCGTTTAATCAAATGACCATAGTAACCGGGCAGAGCTAGGGAACTACTAGGTCCCGTCTGATAAGAAAATTGACTGAAAGTTGCAAAAAAGTGGCATTACTTTGGATTCAGAGTCAGACCTGCGTCTCGTAGGTTGTTCTAAATTGGCCCATTGCCCCAACCGAGGACAGGAATATCATATAATTGTATTGTGAATGGTTACGTAAATAATCCAAATTCTGCGGTTTGTATAAGGAGTTAAAAGTGGCGGCTGGATTACAGAGTCCCAAAAGTGTTGTTTGGACTCCATAAAGCCTGTTCAATGGTAATACAATTTTTTTCCTTCCATCCGCTTATCCCTCTACTACTTGTCAATATCCCGATTTTGAGTCTGTCGTGGCGAAGCGCCTTACCTCAAGTGAGGAGTCTAACGAATCATATATTCTGGTGCATCCATCAGCTTCCTGAAGTCGATTGACAGACGAAGACCTTTGTCCTTCTTAAATGGGGTAGTATATGTGGCCCATGGTGATTTTGTTGTCTTTGTGACCTCGTCTCCAATCGTCATTTCGAGAAGACAGCTTACCTCTTTTGTCAAAGCAGGAGGGATACATCTCTTCAGCAGTATGATCGGCCTAGCCTAACAGATGCCTATCGCACGTCCAATCTTGTTTGTTCTTTCTAACTTGCCACAATGCCGTGATTTGCACCCTTGTACTTTAACACTAGCTCATAGAGTTATTTCCCCTCGTAGTCAGTGACATGAGTAAGTTATAACCATAAAACCGTCTAAAAATTTTAAGTGTAGAGAAAGTGCTTTTCGTAAGACCTAGGATGGGTTAAGTCCAGATTACTAAACAGCCTCCATGAACTTTGTCTCAGGACAATTTTGGATACATCAGATGATTCAATATTTAGGTTTCTCGATATATGTTGACATATAACGACGTCTTACCTTCAACTACCATCTCTTTTCTTTCTGACAAAAGTAATCGGCTAGACTGTGGATCGCGTCTAATCTCTTGATAAGGCACAGCAGAAGCCTTGACCTAACTGTGTTTGTCTTTATATTTCAGTTTCGTCAGCTGTGACAGTTCCCAATGGACCCTTGTATTTATGCACGGCTCAAAATTAGGCTAGTATGAGCCGCAATGTGCAGCAAATTAATTACACCCTACATTCCATACTACACAGTTGTTAGAAGTCGCAGGTACATCTCTACTGAAAGAATCAGCAAAGACTTTAATCCTCACGGTGATCAAGCAATGGGACGTTAAGAACGGGACGCTAGTGCTGCTCTACATGCTAAGTTATATAATAGTGCACGCTAATGGCAATGGTATTGCTAAAAAAGGCTACTGACAATGGCCGTTTACTGACTTTGCGCGTTTCCGAATGAATGTTTTCGATTTCACTAGGTCAACTAACGGCAAATCATTAGTTCCATTTATTACTAGAAGCCGTATCGCTTCCGATGCTTCCCTTTTAAACATTGGAAGCAAATGCGATTAAGGATTTCAAATTGCTTTAATTTATTGCATCTAGGAGTGTATTTATATTCGCGCGCAAATGCTACTGGAGGCCAGTTGTCGAATAACGCGACTAGCGTTCACATCAAACACTCAGCCAATCGTATCAGTAAGCGCATGACATCGGCCAAGTCTGCTCCTCCTGATTGGTCGTTGAGGTTACTTGCCTGAGCCATATTCCCCGTTATCTAGTGCGCCATTAGAATGGCATAGAATATCGAATTGTCACAACATCCAGCGCCCTGTCCAACCCTTTAAAGCGCAGTGATGGTGGCAGCTTGAGTGTTGCCTAGTAACTTTATACAGGACAGCGGATTGGAAGAAACGAATTGAAGCATGAATATGTATAAATTATTGTTAACAAATTACAGATTTGTCAATTCGTTGGAGAAAGATAGTGATATCTACCTTTCTACGTAAACAAATCTGCTTATTAATATTATGGCGGATGGACAAGTTCTTCCATGTGACAATTAATTTGGTTGTCCCTACAGACTCAAGGGTGATGGGAACTAGATACCTTGAAAGTACTGTGCTAGATAGGTAGAGCCTTAATTTTTGAAGGGATGGAAACTAGAAAAAACCGCAAAGAATTGAGGCAGTTGTGAAGAATGCCATATTCTGGGGTGACATAAAATTGGTACTTGGAGGGAAACTGTGGTAGATATATAAAGAAGTCGGTTTTTAGGGGTGATGGGAACTAGGAATCTCTTAAGTGACTTGGGTAGAGAGGTAGATAATTGGATTTGGTAGTGGAGGAAACTAGATAACTAGAAGAAACTGAAGTAGACAGGTAGGGATTTAGGTTTTGAAGTGATGAAAACTAAAATTTAAGGGTAGTGAGCCAAAAGGTTAGATTCTAGATTGACTCGAACTAGGAAATTTGTATGAACTGAAGCAGACAGGTAGAGAACTGAAGTAGGCATGTAAAGAATTGAATTATGTAGTAATGAAAACTGGATAATTGTAAAAATTTGAGGTGATTAGGTGGTGAACTAGGTGCTGGAGTGTAAGGAACTAGTTAATCAGCAAGAAACTGTTGTTAGTAAAAAGGTAGGACCATGAATGCGGGATCAAGCATGTTGGACTGAAACAGAAGCAGATAAGAAGATAAAAAAGCGTCTTGAGTAATGGATATTTGCAGAGAGGCTTTTGTAAATATGTGAATCATCATAACCCGTATTAGTGGAAGATAAAAAAAGAATGGACTAGGATGGTTAAGTAAGGGAATTAGGCCACGCGGTTTTTGGGATGGATTTGGGATAAATAGGCAGATCTAGGTTGAAGAGTTGGCGAAATTGGACATCTGGAGAGGAACTAGGGTAGGCCTGCATAGCATTAGGGTCTGAAGTAACCAAAACAGGAAATCTTGAAGCACGTGAGGTGGATGTGCAGGGAATTTATTTCTGGAGTGGTGGGATCCCGATTGCTGGAAAGGAGTTGAGGCAGATCGAGTATGTTTCTGTAGTGATGAGAAAGAAAATTAGTTGTGTGGTAATTGGGTTTTGTAGTGATAAGAACTGGACACTTGAAGAGGAGTCCTTGAGGACAGCCGCAGAACTATCCGGGAGTGAAGGTAACCGATAAATTAAAAGAAATTAAGGTGGGTGTATGGACAGTTGAGTTTGAGAATGACGACTACTAGACATTTGCAAATAAAGGGCTGGATCTTGAAGTGACGGAATTACATAGTAGATGGCAGTAAAGCAGAATTGAAAAGGATTGGGATCTGGAATCATGAATTCTATAAAGTGAGAGATAGTCGAGGCAGATAGGCGAGGAATTAGTTCCTTGAGTAATGTGAACTGAAAACCAACATAAAATGGGGCTGGGGAGGGAGAAGCTACAGCTGCGATGGGGCAGGGAACAACGAATTCCCAG